GTAAAATTCGTTCAATTTTTTTTTTCTTTGATTGTTTCAATTGTTTGACAGTTGGAAATCTTAAAAAAAAAATGGCATAAACTGACGGCTTCAAGAAAATTAGAACAGTAGAATTACTCTAAAATTAGTATTAATATCCATTCACAAACTAAACTATCATTTTTTACTTGTACCACAAAAAAACATGTCATGTAATTGACTAGAGCTCATCTCATGCTACTGATTTGTGTTTCAGATACACAATCCTCATCAGGACAGATAGTTTTAGAAATGGAGGTTAGCTTTCTAATATAGGACTTAATGTTAGCTAATTGACTAGAGCTCATCTCATACTACTGACATGTTTCTGATACACAATCCTCATCAGGACAGCTAGTTTTAGAAATTGGGATTGTAATCAAGCAATTTATGTCATGTAAAGATTCCAACACTCTAACAGACTACGCTACGACCAGCCCTCCAACAAAAATTTAGAAAAAACACCTAGCAGAAGGGAAAGTTGATTTTGATGCCATGTAAAGATTCCAACACCTTAACAGACTATGCTACAACCAGCCCTCAAACAAGAAACACCTAGCAGGAAGAGAAAGTTGATTTTGAAGAGAAATAGAAGGAATAAACTGGGTATTACATTATGTAAAGATTTCAACACCTTAACAAACTATGCTACGACCAGCCCTCAAACAAGAAACACCTAGCAGCAAGAGAAAGTTTATTTTGAAGTGAAATAGAAGGAATAAACTGGGTATTACATCATGTAAAGATTTCAACACCTTAACAGACTACGCTATGACCAGCCCTCAAACAAGAAACATCTAGCAGCAAGAGAAAGTTGATTTTAAAGAGAAATAGAAGGAATAAACTGGGTATTACATTATGTAAAGATTTCAACACCTTAACAGACTACGCTATGACCAGCCCTCAAACAAGAAACACCTAGCAGGAAGAGAAAGTTGATTTTAAAGAGAATGGGTATTACATCTAATGACATTTAACAATGTAACAAAGGCTGAAAACCAAAAAAATATTACAAGATTCCAAAAAAAAAACCAGGCTTCTGAAGAAAATGGAATTCGCATGTAATCTCTTTTATGAATGAAAGAAAATGATATCTAAAAAAAAAGGCTTAATTCATTTGATGGCAATGGAAAGAGAATTAATCGCTGACAAACTAAGAGTCAATATTAAGGAAGCTAATAAGAGACAGTCATCCATTATCTTATCTTTATTTCTTTCATCATTTCTGAATGTTGAGAATCTTCTCTGTGGGATTCTAGATTCCCAACTCCTGGTCAAATCTCAAGAATGAAAGAAATATATTTTACAAGATAACAACTTAGGTTCACTTAGGATCCTTTCTACCAGCTGGTCCTTGACCAAACCTCTTGGTAATGATTTTACAAGATTAACAACTTAAGTTCATGTGGATCCTTTCTACCAGCTGGTCCTTGACCAAACCTCTTGACAATGATCTTTCCCAGATTTTCTGTACCCATTTACAGCTGGGTCGACTGGAATAATGATTGAAAGTTATTCGAGGTCATCAGATTAAAACACACCAAATCAACTTCCAAATGGCGAACCTGTCCCCTTAAAACAAGTCTCCTTAGAAATGAAATGAATGGAATTTTACATCCTACTTTTTTGCACCATGTAGGCTAATGAAGACGGGTAACACTGCAGTGTACAATGAGGGAAATTTTGCCAGGACAGCGATGTTAGTCTGCTCTTTTTCGATTTCCAACTGTCAAGGGATCTTTAACGTGTACAGCCTGTAGCACACAGGGCCTCGGTTTATTGTCCCATCTGAACAACTATACACTTTGTCAGTGTCAGTCTCTCTTACCTACATCACTGACAGGGGGAAACCAGGTTGAAAAATCTGAAGGTATTATCTCGACCTATGCTGGGATTGAACCCTGAACATTCAGGTTAGCGAGCAAGCCTCTAACTCACTGACAAGGGGAAACCAGGTTGACAAGTCTCCTTTGAAGTGACATTAACTTCAATACATATAAACAAATAATAGTAGGGTATATAACTACATTTCCTTATAATATCAGAAACTTGTTTGATGTTTCTGTCTCTTAATAGCCTAATGGATTGATTGGTTATTGAACTGCAGTCTAACTATAATGGTGTAATGGGACACCTGCAGTACTTGACAGCTATCAGTAAGGTGATGACAAGTTAACGTCCGCTTCCAGTTAATTACATGTAAATGATCCTTTCAAATTGGCTAATGCTGCTGTCAAATTTCAATATGGGCTTATGAAACCAGGCATTCAGTGTGCAATGAGGGAAATTTTGCCAGGACAGCGGCATACGCCTATTCTTATCTTAAGTCCTTTTGCGATTAGTGACATCATCAAACAATTAGTTTTAAGTGGAATTGCACGGCCCACAGACATCTGATTGAAAATTGGAATGATGTAAATTGATGCTATCAGTGTCCCTGATACACATAAAAAGTTTTGATAACCTCTTTACAATCTCTTTAACAAGGACCTCAGACATCTGATTGAAAAATAGAATGATGTTAATTGATGCTATCAGTGTCTCTGATACACATAAAAAATTTTGAAAACCTCTTTACAATCTCTTTAACAAGAACCACAGACGTCTGATTGAAAATTAGAATGATGTAAATTGATGCTATCAGTGTCTCTGATACACATAAAAATTTTGAAAACCTCTTTACAATCTTTTTAAAACTAACAATATTAAAATTTTAATCTGGACAATATAAAAATAAGTTATCTCATCAATTTCAAACTTATTATTTTTTCTACTTCTGCTTTTTTTTTTCCGCGATATAAAAACTAGAGTAAGAGTACAAATAATAATTGGAATCAATATAATTGGTTAAGAGTAGGTGTTAACGTTCGTTGATTAGTTTAGTAACATCTGCTACAATTATTCATCCAATATAATCAAAACTGTCTTGAGGGGCTGTCACACGGGGGTGGGGCAGAGGCGTTCATTCAGCGATGGAAAATTGGCTTGAAATACGATCAAATATTTACATTACCTATTAATTTTTCCATTGCACTAATTTGTTTTATCACATAACGACCTACGCGATTAGTGACATCATCAAACACTTAGTTTTAGTAGAATTGCAGGAACCACAGACGTCTGATTGAAAATTAGAATGATGTAAATTGATGCTATCAGTGTCTCTGTTACACATAAAAAATTTAGAAAACCTCTTTACAATCTCTTTAACAAGAACCACAGACATCTGATTGAAAATTAGAATGATGTAAATTGATGTTATCAGTGTCTCTGATACACATAAAAAATTTAGAAAACCTCTTTACAATCTCTTTAACAAGAACCACAGACATCTGATTGAAAATTAGAATGGTGTAAATTGATGATATCAGTGTCCCTGATATACATAAAAATTTAGAAAACTTCTTTACAATCTCTTTAAGTACTGTTTCCCTGGGACTAAGTCAGTATCCTGTTTTTAAGTACACAATGTGTGTTTTTTCTCTAGTATTAGTTGATAGTAGTAAACAGATGTTTCATTTGTAAACAAACCAATGTAAACAAAAGAAACAATCTAATAATGTATCTTAAATGTTGAACTTTGATTTGAATTAACTTTTATATTGACAATATCATATCATATTTATCTTATATTTTATAATGGGGCAGAGCTGACCTTGATAGAGAGAGTCTGACAGAGTCTGACAGAGAGAGCCTGCTAGAGTCTGACAGAGAGAGTCTGCTAGAGTCTGACAGAGAGAGTCTGTTAGAGTCTGACAGAGAGAGCCTGCTATAGTCTGACAGAGAGAGCCTGCTAGAGTCTGACAGAGAGAGTCTGCTAGAGTCTGACAGAGAGAGTCTGCTAGAGTCTGACAGAGAGAGCCTGCTAGAGTCTGACAGAGAGAGCCTGCTAGAGTCTGACAGAGAGAGCCTGCTAGAGTCTGACAGAGAGAGCCTGTTAGAGTCTGACAGAGAGAGCCTGCTAGAGTCTGACAGAGAGAGTCTGCTAAAGTCTGACAGAAAGAGCCTGCTAGAGCCTAACAGAGAGAGCCTGGCTGACCTTGATAGAGAGAGCCTGACAGAGTCTATCTGAGAGAGTGTGGCAGAGCCTGAAAAATAGAGCCTTGCAGAGCCTAACAGAGAGAGCCTGGCTGACCTTGACAGAGGGAGTCTGGCAGAGTCTAACAGAGAGAGTGTGGCAGAGCCTGAAAAATAGAGCCTGGCAGAGTCTGACAAAGAGAGCCTTGCAGAGCCTGATAGAGAGAGCCTGGCAGAGTCTAACAGAGACAGCCTGGTAAAGTTCAACAGAGAGAGCCTGGCAGAGTCTAACAGAGACAGCCTGGTAAAGTTCAACAGAGAGAGTCTGGTAGAGTCTAACAGAGAGAACGTGGCAGAGTCTAACAGAGAGGCCTGGCAGTCTGACAGAGCCTATGAGAAAGCCTGGCATAGCTGGGTATTGGGGACAAGGGAAAGAAATAATTATTTTTTACAAGCATAATAACTTAGGTTCACAAGGAACCTTTCTACCAGCTGTTTCATATGTGAGAAAGCATATTTTGCGATTAGTGACATCATCAAACACTTAGTTTTAGTAGAATTGCAGGAACCACAGACGTCTGATTGAAAATTAGAATGGTGTAAATTGATGTTATCAGTGTCCCTGATACACATACAAAATTTAGAAAACCTCTTTACAATCTCTTTAACAAGAACCACAGACGTCTGATTGAAAATTAGAATGGTGTAAATTGATGATATCAGTGTCTCTGATATACATACAAAATTTAGAAAACCTCTTTACAATTCAATCCCTTTAATCTGTTGAACTCTCTAGTCCATATCAAACAGTCTTTTGATTTTATTTTTAACTTCAGTCACCAAACCTTTAATCCCAGGACAATTCCCTGGTTTCTGTAGATCAATAATGGGAATGCTATGATCAAAAAGATTACAATCTTATCAAGTTTTTTACAGACATCAAAGATACAAATAACTGTCACAATGAAATACTCACTTAAAGGGATTAGGGCCTTATTCTCTAAAACTTAATTTTAAGAAACGGATGTGCCATTTTCAGGAGTTGATTTGAGTGTTGAATATATGTAAATAATCTTCAGAAATACTAGAAATGTACGAAAATCACATAATTCCTTTAAAAATACAACGATACACTATACATGGTCCTTGGCTGGGTTAATTTGAGACCTGAATATATGTAAATAGTCTTCAGAAATACTAGAAATGTACAAAAATCACATAATTTCTTTAAAAATACAACAATACACTATACATGGTCCTTGGTTTGGTTGATTTGAGTCTTAAATATATGTAAATAGTCTTCAGAAGTACTAGAAATGTACAAAAATCACATAATTCCTTTAAAAATACAACAATACACTATACATGGTCCTTGGCTTGGTTGATTTGAGTCTTGAATATATATAAATATTCTTCAGAAATACTAGAAATGTACAAAAATCACATAATTCCTTCAAAAATATCTCACACTAGGAATTTTACTCACTATTTCTATAGATATCTTTTCAATATATCACAGTGTCTCAAGAAAAGATGAGTCGTCATTTTAACTTTCAAACGTAGATAATTCTGGACACACATGGATTTGAAGGCTTAAATTTTGAAAGTGAACTGTGAACACTATTACTGATTGGTTTAGCTTAAAAAAATCCATTTCTGAGACTAAAGTATGATTGGTCAAAAAATAGCGCACCTGTCCCTTTAAAGTATTGTCATGAAAAGTAGAGCCCTTGTCAATATTCAGTTTTCATGTTCATTTCAACAATAATATTATTATTTTGTATGGGATTAAGAGATTAACGAGGATTAGCGCTAAATCCCTGATTGATTTAATCATTACATCATTCAATAAGTTATTAATTAGCTGGAGATTATTATTACCGACTGCCTACGTGTGGATCTCATCAGAAACCCTAATCCAGCTCTGATGTCCTACATTTTTTCTCTTATTGACCAAATAGAGAGCCACGGTGGCTCTGTGAATTAGACGCTTGCTAACCTGAAGGTCCAGGGTTCAATCCTAGCATAGGTCGAGATAATACCATCAGATTTTTCAACCCAGTTTCCCCCTGTCAGTGAGTTAGATGCTTGCTCGCTAACCTGAAGGTCCAGGGTTCAATCCTAGCATAGGTCGAGATAATACCTTCAGATTTTTCAACCTGGTTTCCCCCTGTCAGTGATACAGGTAAGAGGGGCTAACATGGAAAAAGAGTCTAGTCATTAAGATGGGACAATAAACCGAGGCCCTGTGTGCTACAGGCTGTACACGTTAAAGATCCCTCAACAGTTGGAAATCAAAAAAGAGCAGGCTAATGCCGCTGTCTTCATTATCCCACATGTCCTGACAAAACATGGGATAAGAAACTTTGAATCCTTCTCAAGGTTAAGAAAAATCCTGATATCTGTGCCAGTGCTTTTGTGAGTCGGTTCTCCCCTAAATACACCATTATCTACCTGTGTACTAGGTAAAATATTTGTGTAGTAAGTAAACAATACAAGTTTTAGTAACTGGTTTTACTCTATCAGCTGGTATATATCTGTAGTAGTAAATTTGGCTATTTGTTTAACCACACCCTAGTAAGGTACAGACTGACCTTGTACCAAAACTCGTCAAACCTATAGTTTAATTAGGTCATACGTTACTTAATTACTTGGATTATTTCAGTTAAACCTAGTGGATGTTTTATATATTGTTTGGCTAAGCATTCGCTCGCTAACCTGAAGGTCCAGGGTTCAATCCTGGCATAGGTCGAGATAATACCTTCAGATTTTTCAACCCAGTTTCCCCCTGTCAGTGAGTTAGACGCTTGCTCGCTAATCTGAAGGTCCAGGGTTCAATCCCAGTATAGGTCGAGATAATACCTTCAGATTTTTCAACCCAGTTTCCCCCTGTCAGTGATGTAGGTAAGAGGGGCTGACATGGAAAAAGTGTCTAGTCGTTCAGATGGGACAATAAACCGAGGCCCCATGTGCTACAGGCTGTACACGATAAAGATCCCTTGACAGTTGGAAATAGAAAAAAGAGCAGGCTAATGCCGCTGTCCTGTCAATATTTAACTCATTGCACACTGCACTGCCTGTCTTCTTAGCCCAGAAGGTGCAGAAAAGTAGGACGTAAAACTCCATTCATTTCATTACTGGCACTTAGACAATGGCATTTGAATTAGTGATACTATCTGTTGATTGATTGTGACCAGCTTTCAGACAAGTTGACACCCAGTTTGACTTCTCTACTTGTAAAAACCTCATCAATATTTAAACCTTTCATTCAATTCTTGATGATAAATATGTATATTAGTTATAAACATTTCCTATATTCTGTACAATAGGAACACCCATTATAGGCCTCGAAGTTCATCTTTACAGGTTTAAAGATGGGTTCCTTTACAAAAATGAAAATACTAATACTTCTATGAATAGAAAGCAGAGGTGTTCTAATGACATGGAAAAATACCAGTTTGTCTCACAAATATTTTGGTAATGATTTTACAAGGATAACAACTTAGGTTCACGAGGATCCTTTCTACCAGCTGATCCTTGGCCAAACCTCTTGGTAATGATTTTACAAGGATAACAACTTAGGTTCACAAGGATCCTTTCTACCAGCTGGTCCTTGGTCAAACCTCTTGGTTATGATTTTACAAGGATAATAACTTAGGTTCACAAGGATCCTTTCTACCAGCTGATCCTTGGCCAAACCTCTTTGTTATGATTTTACAAGGATAACAACTTAGGTTCACAAGGATCCTTTCTACCAGCTGATCCTTGGTCAAACCTCTTGGTTATGATTTTACAAGGATAACAACTTAGGTTTACAGTTAAAGATGGGTTCTCTTATTTTCATTTCACTATCGCAAAAGCTGCTAATAACTTCTTAGAGGCTTTGTTATAAAATGCTTATTTTTAGTGGAATTGCGAGAAAAATTGGAATGGTGTAAATTGATTCTGTTAGTGCCTCCAATACGCAATTTAATAAAATTTGTCTAAAACAATTTTTACTCTTGTACCTTTGTAGTGCAACAATGGCAGCCTAAAGCTTAAAATTTCAACGATTTCTTGTTTCATTCTGTAGGGAAAAAAACATCTGCCTTAACTTAAAAAAATCAAATTCTTTCATTTTTGAAGCAGAAAAATAGCTGAAGGTGTAAATTTGTAGGCTTCAGAATTATAACAATTGTTTTCAAAACGAATTCCAGCTTTTAATTGATTCAGCAAATTCTTAAGTCAAAAAAGCTCAAAAGCTCAAAAATAATTCGAGCTTTTTTTGGTAAAGCAAATTTTTGTGTCAAAAAAGCTCAAAAGCTCAAAATAGTACAGAATTATATTAAAGTTTTCAAAAATAATTTGAGCTCTTAATTGATTCAGCAAATTTTTATGTCAAAAAAGCTCAAAAGCTCAAAATAGTACAGAATTATAATAAAGTTTTCAAAAATAATTTTAGCTCTTAATTGATTCAGCAAATTTTTATGTCAAAAAAGCTCAAAAGCTCAAAATAGTACAAAATTATGATAAATTTTCAAAAATGATTTTGGCAAATTATTAAATTAATGAGTGAATGTAGATTTGTCTGCGTTCAATGGTTGATGAACATGAACATGATTTTCACATGTTAATTCGAATGAATGGCGAACACAATAGAAAGTTTCATCTGTAAGAGAAACAAACTGAGATTTGTTCCATCGCCTTGTCTATTTTTAGTTGAAAGTTTTTAGTGTATTCATACGCCTCATCTGACATTGTCACAGGAAATGACGTCATTACAGGGATCACTAAAGAAATTTATAGCTCATCGTTAAATGTAAATATTGCATAATGAATGCACTGAAAACTCATTTACGCGTACCTGCGTATAAACCACGTATAAACCACGTATTAAACACGTCAAATCTCAGCCACAAGAGGATATAATAAAACATATTTTTATAATAAAAAGTTATAAGTCAAGATTACAACGTGACAACGTGCAGGCAGAATATCTTGTCGTTTTTTTCATTTATGACTTTTATTAATTATTTTATCAAATGATTAATTTGTATATGAAATAGGTTGGTGTTATAAGCTAGGAGAGGCATGTTTAGTCGTCTGGAACACCTCATGCCACTTTTGAGATTTGGTTTGTCAACTCTTTTTAGTTTATAAGGTGTGAAAGTGTAGATATTAGGGGCCGACTCTCTAAAGCACTGGCACAGGCATCATAATTTTTCTTACCTTGAGGCCGGTAAGGGTTAGGTTTTGGGGGGTGAGAGCCAACACTGGACTAACTCTCGAAAAGGACTGGCACAGGCATCAGAATTTTTCCTACCTGAAGGCAGGTAAGGGTTAGGTATTAGGGGGTGAGAGCTAACACTGGACCAACTCTCGAAAGCACTGTCACAGGCATCAGAATTTTTCTTATCTTGAGGAGGATAAGGGTTAGGTATTAGGGGGTGAGAGCTGACAATAGGCTGACTCTCGTAAGCACTGGCACAGGCTATAAAAAGACAACTTGTTTTTTCTTGAGACTCTGCCATATATAGAAAATACATCTATAGAAATAGTAAAATTCCTAGTTTGAGATATATTTGAAGGAATTATGTGATTTTTGTACATTTCTAGTATTTCTGAAGACTATTTACATATATTCAAGACTCAAATCAACCAAGGACCATGTATAGTGTATCATTGTATTTTTGAAGGAATTATGTGATTTTCCTACATTTACATATATTCAAGACTCAAATCAAACCCTGAAAATAGCAAACACAAATGAAAAATTTTTGAATACAAACAGTTTGAAATAAGTGGACTAGAATAAAGCTAACAGAACTGTTTTATAATGGTGCAATACTCTAACAATGTGGCAGATATCAAGATAGAGTAATCTAGCCTCACCCACTTTACTACAGAAAACAATATAGTAGTATTTACTTTAACAACACTAGGCTAGTATAACAACGCAATAAGACACACACACAGGGCCCCTATCAGCTGATTAGTGAATCACTGAGTGTTTTCAACATTACAACTGTTTTGAAGTGGCAGTGCCAGGTTTACATCCGAGGGGGGGGCGAAAAGGAGGAGAGATATATGCCTGAATCTCTAACCTAGTTATGAGATTTTTGCCCGAAAAATTGGGATTGTCGTCTGCTAGGACAGTGGAGTAGCTCAGTCGGTAGTGAGTTGGATTTTCTAGTGAGTTAGATTGTCGTCTGCTAGGACAGTGGAATAGCTCAGTCAGTAGTGAGTTGGATTGTCCTCTGCTAGGACAGTGGAATAACTCAGTCAGTAGTGAGTTAGATTGTCGTCTGCTAGGACAGTGGAATAGCTCAGTCAGTAGTGAGTTAGATTGTCGTCTGCTAGGACAGTGGAATAGCTCAGTTAGTAGTGAGTTAGATTGTCGTCTGCTAGGACAGTAGAATAGCTCAGTCAGTACTGAGTTGGATTGTCGTCTGCTAGGACAGTGGAATAGCTCAGTCAGTAGTGAGTTGGATTGTCATCTGCTAGGACAGTGGAATAGTTCAGTCAGTAGCTATTTGGATTGTCGTCTGCTAGGACAGTGGAATAGCTCAGTCAGTAGTGAGTTGGATTGTCGTCTGCTAGGACAGTGGAATAGCTCAGTCAGTAGTGAGTTGGATTGTCGTCTGCTAGGACAGTGGAATAGCTCAGTCAGTAGCTATTTGGATTGTCGTCTGCTAGGACAGTAGAATAGTTCAGTCAGTAGCTATTTGGATTGTCGTCTGCTAGGACAGTGGAATAGCTCAGTCAGTAGTGAGTTAGATTGTCGTCTGCTAGGACAGTGGAATAACTCAGTCAGTAGTGAGTTTGATTGTTGTCTGGTAGGACAGTGGAATAGCTCAGTCAGTAGCTATTTGGATTGTCGTCTGCTAGGACAGTGGAATAGCTCAGTCAGTAGTGAGTTGGATTGTCGTCTGCTAGGACAGTGGAATAGCTCAGTCAGTAGTGAGTTGGATTGTTGTCTGGTAGGACAGTGGAATAGCTCAGTCAGTAGTGAGTTGGATTGTTGTCTGGTAGGACAGTGGAATAGCTCAGTCAGTAGTGAGTTGGATTGTTGTCTGCTAGGACAGTAGAATAGCTCAGTCAGTAGTGAGTTGGATTGTCGTCTGCTAGGACAGTAGAATAGTTCAGTCAGTAGCTATTTGGATTGTCGTCTGCTAGGACAGTGGAATAACTCAGTCAGTAGTGAGTTTGATTGTCGTCTGGTAGGACAGTGGAATAGCTCAGTCAGTAGTGAGTTTGATTGTCGTCTGGTAGGACAGTGGAATAACTCAGTCAGTAGTGAGTTTGATTGTCGTCTGGTAGGACAGTGGAATAACTCAGTCAGTAGTGAGTTTGATTGTCGTCTGCTAGGACAGTGGAATAGCTCAGTCAGTAGCGAGTTTGATTGTCATCTGCTAGGACAGTGGAATAGCTCAGTCAGTAGTGAGTTGGATTGTCGTCTGCTAGGACAGTGGAATAGCTCAGTCAGTAGCATGTTGGATTGTTGTCTTGTAGGACAGTAGAATAGCTCAGTCAGTAGTGAGTTGGATTGTCGTCTGGTAGGACAGTAGAATAGCTCAGTCAGTAGTGAGTTGGTTGCCGTCTGCTAAGACAGTGGAATAACTCAGCCGGTAGCGAGTTGGATTGCTTAGGTTACATCACTAGGGCTGGGTAAAATGATCGAAATAATTGATTATCGTTCCTAGGAATTTATAATTTCGATTATCTATTATCAAATTTCATAATCGATTATATGTCAAAGTTACATTTTCTCCACTGTACCCATTAACAAGTAGTAATCTCTTCCACATAGTTTCCCTTCAGCACATAACATATCCACAATAAACTATACTAACTGATTAAAACAAGAATATACTTCTATGATGCAAAAATTACCCATAAAATTCAGAATTTTGGCAAGTTTTTAACTTAGTATTTACAGGGTTTCTCAAGTAAATTATTTCTATTATTAATCTATTTTTGATTGGTAGTCTGCCATTGATAATCTATCTCAATTTGCTAATCCATACCCAGCCCAGACATGAGTTCAAACCCTCCTCAAGGAAAGAAAAATTCTCATGCCACAACCAGTGCCTCTGATCTCTATAACCTACAAAAACCCAGATATCTGATAACTAATCTAATAAAGCGTCATACATCCTGATAATTGGTAATAATTATCAATGATAATATTGCCTCTGTCCCTGAAGACCAGAACTCGATAGATAATAACCAGCTCTAAAAACAAACTCTTTCCATTATACTAATTAAAATCATATGTCCAGATTATTTCATTAATACAACAAACACAAAATTTAGAGTGTCCACAAGTCAATAAATGTCAAATACAATTTCTTCAGAGAGTCCAGAGATCAAACACTTAGTTTTAGTGGAATCGCAGGAACCACAGACATCTGATTGAAAATTAGAATGGTGTAAATTGATGCTATCAGTGTCCCTGATACACATAAACAATTTAAGAAAACCTTTCTACAATTCATAATGTAGATTTTATCATTCACGTTGCATGGATTTGTTTTTTTTATTTATAACGTTGTCGTCGTCGTGTGTACTGGTCACAGAAATAGTTCCATATTAAATAAGATACACTTTATTACACAATCAGTAAGCAGATACAGAGCAAATCAAGAAAACAAAGCTATAGTACTAGGGAACAATTGCTCAGCAGTGCTGGTTTACCTAAGACCCTTACTCTTCAATGTCTGCTTAATTCTGTCATATCACACCACCTGCACCAGAGGTCATAGGTCATTATACTATATTTAGCAACTTATTCAGGCTAATAACAACATAGTAGAACAAGATCAAAGACAATGACATCTGCATGATGAGTGATATTCACTAGTTAAAG